CGAAAACGACCGCGAAGTGGTCTTGGTCATTTATCGCCTTTCCAGCCCGGCTCATTTGGGAACTCGCCCCCCTCCTCCTCCTCCTCTTCCCTTTGGTTGTTGAAAGAGGGATCCCCCTCCAGGTGAGAGAGGTGGTTTGGCGAGCTTCCTCCTGTCAGGACAAGAGCCCTTGGCAGACTCCCCCGGCCGGTCTGTTTGAGCAGATTGACCCTCCGGGGACAGATGTACCACCTTCTCCTACCTGATTTAGTAATACGATTGCCCCTCCGGCATGATTGATAATTAATGAGGCTCACCCCTTTTTTTCTCTCTCCCTCTTTTTCGATCCTTTTACTGTTTCTTTTCCGGCTCCACGGAAGTTTTTGATGTACTTCAGCTCTCTCAACGAGGAAGGCAGCAGGGAGGAGCTTTCGACTTCTTTCTCCTATATTATTATTGGCCGATCACCGCCTTTCCAGCCTGTGACACACAGGAAGACAGAGAGCTACATTATTAATTAATAGATGAAGTGCTCATCCTCCATTTTTAAATTAACAGCCCAAAAGGTCCGGGCCATGCGTGGAGGCTTTTAGAGGCCTAACTTATGCACGGTTCATTAACCTTAATACCCAAGAAAATGGTTGGCTTGTTAGTTTCTTGGTAAATATATTTAGATGCTTAAAATGTTCTTTTTTGAAAAAAAATATGTTTCTGTTTTTAAAAAGTAACAATAGGACTAAGTCCTTAATCTGCTGAATCACTATCCTAATGTGTAGGACTTTCTCCCCAATTTTATACTTACTGGGTAACACATTGCACTAACCTTGATGTGGGTTGTTAGTCTTGGTTTAACATCTTATGTAAATACATCCAAGTGGTCTGTTTACTAAACCTGTTAAGCAAACCATGTCTCAGTGCAAAGTTACATCAGGCTAATTATGACTACATTCACACTCATTATTTCATAGCAATATTTTAATACATCAATTAAAACATAGCCACAGACTCCAAAGTCACTCTCCCCCGTTTCAGATTGTCTATTAACTTTTTAACATCTTGGTATTTATTTCTAAAACTTGTGTGGAAGGAGCTAACAGTTGAAGAAATAACAAAGATACCTTTGATATGTTTAACCAAAATTCTATCAAAAATTAAAATTCAGTCACTTCTAATAAGAATATTTATTATACAAAGGACAGCTATTTTAAAATCATAGATATTTTTATATTTTTTTCTGCAAGATATGTACTATAATTATATATAACCTGTAAAGAAGGGGACGACAGAAAATGAAGTGTCTAGATGGAATCACTGAAGCAGTAGGCGTGAGTTTAAACGGACTCCAGAGTATGGTAGAGGACAGGAAGGTCTGGAAGAACGTCCGTGTGGTCGTGATGGGTTGGACATGACTTCGCAACTAACAACAACATATTCTAAATAATACTTAATACTAACATGTGTACCTTAAACTATTTTATCTTATGTGATTGTAACCTACGTCTCTTAATTTATTACATTTTGGCTACTATTCTAAGCATTTTTACTAGCTACTAAATCCTATAATATTGTTGAATTTGAGATTAAGATCGGATCTAATAAATCAGAAAGTTTATTTAAAATTCTTTCATGTTATTTAGCTTTTTCCAGGTAGTAGAATTTTTTGGGGAAATTGGTTTATTCTTAAATTATTCAGAATTAAATTTTTATTTATCATTAAAAATAAATTTGAAAAATATGTAAATAGAAAGTATTATTATACTGCTACTGATAGGCATTATTATTCCCAAAGTAGCATTCTTGTCCCAATCATTTGTTCACACTATTTGCAAAAATGATTTGCAAGGTAAACTGATAGGGTCTAGAACTCAGGACTTTTATTGATGTCAAAAATTATGGTAAATTCCACAATGATATTTATAAAAAGACTAATAGTTAAGACATGAGAGAAACACTTGTAATAAAAACCTGTTTAACAACATAGGAAAAAATGAAGGCTTTCTTTGCAACTTGAAACAATAGCATGGCCCATTAGAATGCTTCCTTTGGCAATTTAAAACTAAAAATTAATTAGTTAATTAATAAAAAGGCTGCCATTTCAGTGACTTTTAAAGTCAATGAGCTGTTAGTCAAAAGTCACAATCATAGACTTTTGGGTTCTGATTTATTATCTTGTTAAATGTATTAATCAGTTGACTGCACCCAGTTTGATTGGATCTTGTTTGAGATAGTAGTAATAATTCGTTGTTTGGCTTGATACCTACAGATGTACTCCACTCCATAGGTATGAGGAAGATGGATTTTAAAATTGCACAATCTTCTTTGTTTTTCCACTGTAGTTCTGTAAGTAGTTCTATTGATAGATCCTAGTCTGTCTTCCTAACCTAATGCCTTAAAATGTTGTGAGATTAAAATGTGCTTGCTCAGTTCCTTGAGGGAAGAATGAAATATAAATGAGGTAAAATAAGAAAATATAGAACAGTATATTTTTGTTATAAAACAGATTTTTTTCCTGAAATAATGACATGTCTAAAAGTGTTTTCTGGCATAAAGTTACAGAGATGAGCAAAGACATATTTTTTGAGGGGAAAGTACGGTAATTCAGGGTATAAATATAACCAATTTCATTGTATTTAAATACAATGACAATAAAGATTATACTTACTAAATACAATAAGAAAAGTGGATTATAGTATGGAAAGTACTTCTACCTGGTAGGTGACACTGTTGCATTCGATATCCATTTTTTGACACCTCATGGATCTGAATATTATGAGATTCTTCGATGGACTTTTTTTCATTTTTTTTCTTAGCTGAGGAAATACTTTCTATGGTGGTTTCTACCAACATATTGAGCAATTTATACATATTGTCTGTATATTTCAGGAGCATTTTAATACAGAGTAAAGTTGCACTGTTCATTTGTGGGACACCTTTAGTCTTTAATGAATTAAAAATGTGATCTCTAATTTCCAAAACTTATTTGTGCTTATGCATTGGAAGACAGGACAGAGGCTTCTCTTAACTACAGTTCTTCTGTTTGAAAAACCTATTACTGTTTCACAAAATACCAGCATTCTGAAGAATATAATGTGAAAGGTTTTTTTTTTTCCATACCAGGCATGACGGGAGTACATAAATGTTTTCAGCCAAGAATTGCACTTGGTCTTAATGGGAATATAGGGAAGATGCACTTCAAAAACAGGTGACAGTAGAGTAAAATCTCGATTGTATGAGCTCATTAGGTAACTAAATTTTATCCAATAAATTGGATAGCCAATTCAGAGATGCTTCAATTTGAAGTTACCAGAATGACCCTGATGACTACAATAGCTCTTCCACTTATCTTATTTTTGTCCTCCTTTTTCTTGACAACGGAAACCCCCAAAACAGGATACAAATATAATAGCACTTTTGTGATATGATTCCCTTGACAGATATATCTTACTAAGCCATAATTGATTCATTTAATTGATTCATTTGGGCTTATGTGTTGTTGACCCCTGCCTTTAGGGGGGTTTCCATGAATTATGACAATTAAGTAAACCAGCCAGTTAAATTTATTCAATAAATAATGGTTAAATCAAAGTGTGAATGTGTCAATGATATATTGTTTTATTCTCTACGAATTGATATGTTTGTATTAATAGTTATAAAGTAAAGGACAATTGTCTTTCCCACCACTGGTTTGACAATAAAGCACAATATTTATTTGGTGGATACTCAACAAATGATTAGTACCTGCTTTAATGGAGGCTTGGGTTTACACAAACAAAAAGTTAATTGAGACAAAAATTCAACGAAAGTTAGGGCTACCTTTATAAATAATCCTTAACCGAAGATAATGAATGCCATCTAGTGGTAATTTATAAATAGCTCTTTAAGTAAGTAGACTTCACTATAACTTATTAAATAAAGCTATACAATATTTGAGATCTTTTGTTTTATGCAATGAATAATAAAAATATGGACTGTTGGTTTCATTTATTAATGTATTTGTCATTTCTTAAAGAATGTATATCTTATGTTATTGTAACCTATGTATATTATAAAAGCGTAATAGCAACCTATCCTGATGACACAATAATCATTGGTTTCATTCGAGAGAGTGATGAGTTTGCAGGTAGATGGGAAGTTGAATAACTGGCCCTGTGGTGCAGCCAGAACAATCGAGCTGAACATCCTTAAAACTGTAGAAATGAAACTGGATTTTAAAAGGAGCCCTCCTATTCTACCACATCTTACTACGTTAGATAACACAGTATCAATAGTGGGGACCTTCAAATTTCTGGGTTCTATAGTCTCCCTGGATTTGAAATGGACACCTAGTATTAAAACCATCATTAAAAAGTCACAACAAAGAATGTTCTTCTAGAATCAACTCAGAAAGTTCAGACTGCTGCAGGAGTTGCTGATACAGTTCTACAGAGCTCATTCAACTTTAGTCAAGCTGGAGTGACAATTGTAGCGCTCTGGATTTGGAAGAATCTATTTCATCCATCCATCCATCTATCTCAAGGAATGACTCTGGAGGACTTACAATTCAGCTATTGTTGGCAATGAACAGTCAGTTTGGTCTACTAGTACAGTTCAAGTCCTGCCTTTGTCATGACAGTCATCTGGATGACTTCAGACTAATCCCTGTCAACCCATAATGTGACAAGTTGGTAAATTAATTCCTGTCACAAGCGATGGTTCATGTTTGGTTGATCCAAACCTAAGCAAACATATATTTTCATGTAAGTTAAGAAATTAATCAAAAGATGCTTGCTGTACAGAAAACATGTACCTCATGTAGGCAAGAAGTCCTGGAATGATTGTACAACTATGTACCACATTTAAATGCGAAGAAAAAATATAAATGAAAGAGAAGGAACAATATGTTGTAAAGTATGGCAAATGCAGCATTTCCAGTTCTTTAACTAGCCGCCCTGAGTCTTCCGAGAGTGGACGGCATACAAGTTAATAAAATAAAATAAATAAATAAACCCTCACTAGAAATAAACCAGGGAGGTTCTTTTTTAACGCCTTCATGTTTATTTACCAAAAATGCATCACTGATTTTCCATATTATTTTCAAAGGCAGTTCATAACAAAATTTAACAAACTAACATTCTTTAAAATGTTATTTTTTTTATTTAAAAAGCACTTGATGCAAATGTACATATTTTGTATGCTATAGAATTCTGTACAAGTAAATTTCTTTAAGTGCTTCTCTATCAGCATCTTCTAAGAATTCATCATATTGCACTGGTACTGCTTTTACCCACTGGCTGAGCTGAATGTCCACCTGAAAAGAAATTTAAACAATTCACTACAACATACATAAATCTCAGAAATGTTGAAAGTACGTAAGCAAAATACCATCAAATAACAACTAAAAATGAGATAACAACACATTTTTTGTGAAACCAAACTACTGTAGATAATACCTACATAGTCAATTTAAATATGCTTCTATATCTTAAATGCCACTTCAGCAACTATAATTAATTCATTATTTACCTATAACACGCACCAAGAAAAACTTGCCATGTAAATAGTTTGAAAAATAGCTCTTTACCTGAAGCTCTGAGAGAGACTTTTCAAGGCTTGGGACAGTCACTAATAAAGACCCTGGCTTTCTTACATTTTGACTTATGATTTTCCATGCTCTAGAAGTAAAACAAAGTACATTTCTTATAAAACAACTCCTCCAAAAATTCTGCCATATGAAACAACACAAGATACCAAGAGTTGATCTGTGAGGGAGATGGGCAGCTTCTAAATGTTTGGAACACTGCCTGAGCTGCATGTACAAGAAAAGACATACAGGCCAAATAATATGGGAAAAATAACTTGGCCTTCTAGAATATCATAGCTTATTAGGATAATAATAGAATCAAGTTGGATCTTGTACTGGATTCTATTTCCTTACACATATACAGATCTCCTTTATAATATGAAATTATGACAAACACTTTGTGATAATAGAGAAAGGGGATCTCCCTGTTTGGTGAAGATAAGAGAATTCTATCCAACTGTGTCATTATACTACTGGGGTAGCATTTGACAACGAATAACTTCTTCCTTATTTCCCCATATTCAGAATTTCAGATCAATTCTGCAGGAATAGGGGATCTTTGGTGGCGCTGCATCAGGTATGGGAGTGATAACAGAGCAAGTAGATGCAGGTCATGTCATGTTAGATGTAGCACATTATTTTACAGAACACTTGGAATAACCTTTACTTCTGTTAAATAATGCTCTCTATTCTCTTTATTGGAAAAAAGATGAGGATCATCCATCTAATGATGATACTTAAAAAAGAATTATGGCTTGGAATGTTTTTTTCACTATATCAGCAAGTTAGTTCAGAAATTTTCAATAAAAGAATGGAAGCTTTTCTCAATCTTTCATCTGAATTTGGATAATCTCTTCAAGAATTGTTACCAGCAGTGGGTTTCACATTTTGTTACTACTAGTTTGCCCCCCGCGTGCGCACTTCGTGCATGTACCAGGCCTTCTGCATATGCGCTTTGCTCACGTGTGTATCTTCTGCGCATGCGCCCGGCCTAAAAAACGTGCCTAAATAGGATGGCATATAGCCGGGGTGGGTGGGCAGGCCCACCTACAATTTCCAATACTGGTTTGGACCAACTGGCCCAAACCGGCTGAATACCACCGCTGATTGTTATCTAATATGATTGATGATACTTGAAGTATCATGTTGCTTAATTTAACTTTTTCTCATTTTCTTTATTAAATTATCCATGTGACCTACCTCTTTATCAAGCACACTGATAAACTACTTTAATTTCTTCTCATATTTTTTCTGTTTGATATCTTTTAATATTTATTTTTGTGTATTAGAGCAAATAAAATAAATTAAGCACATTGAACCAGCAGGTAACCTTACATAATTTACACTACAACCACCTACAGCATGAAAATTATGTTTCATATTGTTGAGGTTCATGAAACATGAGAATGATTTCATTTTTATAACATCTTACTGTAATATTATTTACATTAAGTATTCTTTTGTCTAACATTATACTTATTTCTAATATCTGATTCGTTAATTGTCTTACATTGTTAAATGTAAATGTAAAATAAAATATCTAGAATGATAATTATATAGATTTGTGTTAGAAATATGGAAACAATAATTATGAACATGATATTGTATACTAGGAGACATAATAGTATGTATAATGTAAAAATCTGTAGATATAACCGGTATATCGCTGTTGCAAAGCTGAAACTGTGATGTGAAAAAAAGAAAACTGTATAATAAAAATACTTTTTTTTTTAAAAAGAGAGAATTATTTCAAAATTTATTTTAAAAGGCAAACTGATCTTTGACAGATTTTCATTTTGCCCAAAATAGTCTCACTTGGTACAGAGAAATTTAATAAATTTATTAAATTACAAATTTAATAAAACAATAAAAAATGGATTTGCACAAGTGTCTTTAAGTGTCCAGTTTTAGTCTTAACAAGAGGGAAATGATAGGTTTCACAAGCTTTTTATTCAGCTGTCTTTAATTAGAATGTTTTTACATCCCGAAAAAGAACAAAGGAATCAGTTTTCACAATTATATTTTTATATACTGGCTTGGATTTTAAAGAACATATGCATAGTTGGTTGGGTGTTAGACAGTGTTTCTAGAGATTTCAGAACAAAGAGAACTTACCTAGCCTGTTCTGATCTGTCAAGAAAATATTCAAAGACATTATTCATTACAACAATGTCTGCATTTTGAAGAAGTGAAGCTTGAGTACAAATATCTGCATTAATCACCTAAAGAGAAATGATTTTGCAGAAGTTCAAATGAAAAACCATGTGATAATATTTAAGATTGTTAAAAAAATGTTCAGATCAAGGAAAACCATCTAGGTCTGACCCTTCTACTAGTCTTGTATCAGTACACATGACTCATCTCTTGATCATTAGAAAATAATTGTTCCAATATCATAGATTGCTATTAATCTTATCATTCATTGTATTAGAAAGAAATTAAAAATTACGTAGTAAGCAAGCTGTGAGATACACAGTGCCATAAGTATGAAATAGATCTGAAGGTGAACAGAAAAATGAAGTCTGCTTGTTGGAGTTTCTGTTTTTTTAACATAGAGGAGTGTTTTGTCAATAAGAAAAATGGTAAGACACAATAAGAGGAAGGGTCTCTATATACAGAGACCCAGTGTCTCTGTTGGCCTATGCCTAGTAAAACAAGTCTGTGGGTTGAAGTGATGAAGGAACTTTCTGTCTCCTCTTTTCAAATAGCTGAACTAAACCTGTATACTGCATCTAAGATAATCCTATTATGAACATTGTTTAAAATGGAACCTACTGCTATTTCATTACTTGGTATTCCTTTTAGTACAATGCATATACCCCAAAGCACATCAGGAGTATAATAGAATGACACTTGCTGAATTTGGATCTCCAGCACTACCTCAACCCAACACACTCTCTTAATGGCAGATGGTCAAATATTGTTCTTATTAAGGAAGATTGTAAGATTAAAGTTATTGCAAAATATCAAAATCTGTATTTCTATATTCATATGAGATGGTATCAAATTGTAGATAAGAATTTAGGTAGGAATCAGAAATTTCTCATCTTGGCCATGAATGTTAAGGAAGTTGATCATTCTTGGCTTCAATTTCTCCTCAATTCACAGCTGCAACACTGACACAAGAATGTACAGTAGTTTGGAAACCGGCTCCCTTACAGAATTATCAGAATGATAAGCTAATACATGGGAAGTGTAACACCTGAGAGTTAGAAAAATGCTGGGTGTTTTCTTTATTGTGCAGGAATTGTCCTTACAAGAACTTATGTAAGCAAAAGATTTGGATGGCTACAAGATTTCTTCAATATTAAACCTATCCAGAGTATATTATATTCCTCTTGGTTTTCACTAATTATATACAAATGAAGCTCAGCTGACTTTCAGCCATATTTACTTGAAAGTTACTTGCTTGAGACATTTAAAGTAACTGAGCTAATATTGCATTTCTAAGAAAAAGAGCATTATGCTAACCTGCAGCCCTTCCATACATAAACAAAGCAATCAAAGGTATTGGTTCACCTTTATTCTGTCGTCAAGTCGATACTTTGAAATGATAGTTTCCTGCAACTGGCAAAAGTCTCCGTTCATCTCAACTCCATAGATCTGGGATGCTGAACTATAATAGTAGGCCTAAAATAAAAGTAGAAAAACTGAGACGTTGCTAAAGTGGGTTGGAATATAGAGTTGAACTGTAGTAAGCAACTGAATTTTGCTGATCTGTAGGCATTTGCTTTCAAAATGTGTGTAGGCCCCATTAATGACGACTATGCTAAATACATGCTCACATGGCAGCCTAGGAAATGCCTAATTTTGGGGAACAAAGGCAATATCCATTTTTTGAATGCTTTGCTGGAGCCAGATCCTAAAAAACAGATAGGTTCCAAACAGTCCCTAAATTTGCTTTGATTTAATTGAATTTGACCTTCCAATTTAAATAAAAGTAATTAGAAAGTATAATATTATTCATGTGTTCAATAATTTTCTATTTCTGTCTCAATAAAAAATAACATATTTTTCAAAATAATTTTCAGCAGAATTAAGCACACTCACTGGGAGTCCAGGGACATGTAAACTTTATAATGTTGGGACTCTAAGGAATAGCAGGGCTCTGTGCAAGACTGGAAAATTGGGGAGGGGAGGGGAGGGGAAGAGAAACATCCCAGAAGGCTGCAATTACAAGCCACTTCTCTGCAGTTTCTGGGAAGACTGTATCAGAGGTGGGTCGCTGCTGGTTTGGCCCATTTGGCTGAACCGGTAGTAGAATTCAGGCCTGGGTCACAGAACCGGCAGCGATCCAGGCCTGCCACGCCCCCAAACCGGTTCCCTTGCTGCCGCTTGGCCACTGTCATCTTGGATTTTAGAGACTGTGCATGCTCAGTTCTCTGTAAATTGTTCTGTGCATATGTGCAGGACAATTTAAATTCAACTGCGCACGTGCACACAAAGCATGCACACACATTGCCCATGGGTTGCAAACTGGTAGTAACGCCGGCAGCAACCTACCCCTGGACTGCATGAACATATTTATGTAGTCAAGAGAAATCAAGCTCAACTTGAAGAATACTTAGTTTTAAACCAGAATGTTCTGTGCGTATGCAACAGAACAATTTACATTGAACTGTGCACATTGTGCTCGGGTTGTGAACTGGCAGAACCACCAGCAGCAACCCACCCCTGGACTGCATGAACATATTTATGTAGTCAAGAGAAATCAAACTCAGCTGGAAGAATACTTAGTTTTAAACCAGAATATTCTGTTATTCTGTTATTTCAACCTGTAAAAGGTTATTACTTTCGAACTATGTGAACAATAATCACACTTTCTATTTTAGGATAAATGTGAAGGTTGATTCTGCATCTACTTGCTAAAAATAGTTTCTTAAGTCAAGAGCAGGAATATCACCATTGCACAAGAGATTAGTTAATTCTAAAAGCATGCAAAGGATAAGGCCAGCATCCTTTCTTTTCAAGGGTAGAGCTTGATGACTACAGCCTGTTATTTCTGAGGTTATTCATGTCTTTAATTATACTATAACCATAATATGCTGGTTCCTCTAATAAGGGATTTATGTTTCAACTTTTGCATTCCAAAAATTATATTCAAGTTGAGTAATGTCAGTAATCAAATCTCAAAATTAAACGTAAGAAGCAAACAATTCAGCGAAACCCACCCCTCAAATCAATAACAAATTAAGGTTCAAAAAATAGCAACCAGAAACTTGCTTAAATAATATTATACAGCATAGACAGTAAATCAATTTCTGGTGTAGTTTTTACCCCAAACAGGACTGCTCCAAGCCTGGAGCCCACGTCAACCAGAACCTTCCCTGTCAGGTCAGGCAATACTTCCTGGTACAGGAACTTCAGTTCCACAAGGGAAAAGGAATGGGAAATGAATTCTGGGAAACAACAATAAAATAAAGCATGTTGTAGCCATGGTTAGCATTAACTTGGATTAAAACAAAACTTTCTAAAAAAAATTCTCTTTTTTGATTTGAGCAATGATAAAAATATTCCCAAGTGTATTTTGGATATTATACATTTCTGCGGCAATTTTGAAAAGTCAATGGCTGCATATGACCTGAATGGGGTTCGCCATAGTTGAAAACTGAACTATATGCATTTAAGTGGAATACATTATGAACATAGTTCTTTGAGTAGCTAGACTCTTGCAAAGACAGCATTTTCACCTGTGCTCATTCTGTTTTTGGGTGCTGGTGGCAAAGCCTGGATTTTATTTTTTCCTTCCTTGCATTGTATTAAGTGAGCATAACAACAAGATTTAGCATGCTGACTTTGAAGCACATTCCAATGTGTTCATATCTAACTAATTAACCTGTCATTTTGACATTTGAAAATAGTTTATCCTCACAATTTCTTGATTCATAATTATTCAGAAAAAAAGAGGTACATCTGAAAATATTTTGGAAAAAGTTTTTTGGATCACATAAGGTAAAGGTAAAGGTTCTCCTAGGGGATGGTGCTCATATCTGTTTCATAGCCAAAAAGCCAGCACCGTCCGAAGATATCTCTGTGGTTATGTGCCCAGCATGACTAAATGCTGAAAGCGCATGGAACACTGTTACTTTCCCACTAAAGGTAGTTCCTCTTTTTTCTACTTGCATTTTTACATGCTTTTGAACTGCTAGGTTAACAGAAGCTGGGACAAGTAACAGAAGCTCACTCCATTACGCGGCACTAGGGATTCGAACTGCCGACCTTCTGATCGACAAGCTCAGCATCTTAGCCACCGAGCCACCACGTTCCTCTTGGATCACATACAAATAAAATATTTTTTTGCTGTTTATGAAAGCAATTTAATTTTCTTCATCCCAAATTTTAAAAGTTGCATCAGCTTTAGAGACTTATCTCCTTAAAGCAGATGGAATTTCTTTTCAGGCTTATGTGAAAGCCTGAAGAAAGATGTTCTGTTTTAATAAAAGTGGTGACTTTGCCTGAGTTGAACTCAAGTAAGATCCAAAAGAGTTCTAAATAATTTTCAAATGCTTATGATTTTAATATATACTTCTCTAACATTTTAATGTAAACTACTTTGAACTGCTAAAATTTGTATTTAAATCTGAAATATAAAAATATATGAATATAATACTAATGGCTTCTGAAGGGTTTTTTAAAATATTGGTGCTGATACCGTGTTTCCCCAAAACTACGACACATCCTGATAATAAGGCCATGCCATATTTTTCCTGTGGGCAAAAATATATGCCCCCCCCAATAATAAGCCCCCTGGAGAACCCCTCCATCCAGCCAGGCAGAGCGCCACTCACCAACCTAGCGATATCCCAAAGGTGCCAAGCCGCAGGAGCCGGGGGCGAGGGGGGGCAAAGGCGCTCACATTGCTTGCCACCTTTGGAATAGCCTTAGGTTGGTGAGTGGCGCTGTGCCCAGCTGGAGCAGAGGGCTACCGCCCGGGAAGCCCCCTTTCCAGCCGGGCAGAATGCCACTCACCGACCCAGTAATATCCCAAAGGCGCTAAGCCGCATGGCGCTCTGCCCAGCTGGAAAGGGAGGTTGTGCGAGCGCCTGTTCTGCCCCCAGCTCGTGTGCCTCCCAGCCTCAATATGCTGCCAGCCCACAACCATAGAGTGTAGTCCCAGAGCAGCCGCTGCCGGAAGACTCGGCAGCGGATTGCCAGAGTTTGGAAGTCGGTAATGCTCGGAGCGCGGTGGTGGGAGTGAGGCGGCGACGGCGCCCTGGCCCTGCAGGGAGAGCTGGGCCAGGGCATAGGGAGGCTGGGAGGCATGCGAGCTGGGGGCAGAACAAGCGCTCGCGCAACCTCCCTTTCTAGTCAGGCAGAGCACCACGCGACTTAGCGCCTTTGGGATATTACTGGGTCAGTGAGTGGCATTCTGCCCGGCTGGAAAGGGGGGTTGCCAGGCGGCTGCTCGTGAGCGTGGTCACCTCATGGCTGCTGTGTAGTGCTGCTGCGACAGTGCAACACTGCCATTTGCCCCTGAGGCTGCGCCCAGCTCTTCAGGTGCCCGCTCCCAAGAGAGCAGTCACCTGGCAACCACAAACCAATAACACCCCCCCCCCCCGATAGTATGGCCCAAGCAACATTTGGGGGGGGGTCAAAAGAAAATAAGACCCTGTCTTATTTTCGGAGAAACACAGTACTGTTTTTGTGACAATTTGCAAGTATTAAAACAGAATTATTCAAGGAAGACGTGTAGCACATATATAAAGATTTCTGAATGTATAACTTCATACACTATACATGTAGAAAGGTTTGTTTATTTATTAGACTTTATCCCACCTTTATTACTTTAAAAGTAACCCAAGGCAGTGAACATATATAATATGCCCTTCCCCCTATTTTCTTCATAGCAACAATAACCCTTATGCCTTAACCACTATCCCAACTTTCTGCTTTTCTTTTCTGCTTCTCATCCAAGAAGCTTCTTTAGCTTCAAACCAGAAAAGAAAAAACCAGAAAGTCCAGTTGCCTCTTGAAAAAGCACCTTTGAGACAACCATGACCTGGATGACTGAGAGTCTCTTTAGTCACTGGATCATGAGCACGTCTACCTTAGCACACACAGGTACTAATGTAACTTCTGATATTGCCTCTGGCACTTATTAGGCTTTCTGTCTTAATGACTAGACTCTCTTTTAAATTTTATACTGAGAACCAAAAACATAATTGAAATCTTGCAAACCATAAGGTAAAAACATATAGCGTAGTCTTTTAGCATTCTTAGGAAATAAAAAGGGATGTAGTGCCTTTTTACTCCATGATTAAAAATATGCACAGTTACAATAAATTCCTACAAAGCTTTCTGGAGAGTGAGAAGTATCTGTTTATTGAGAAGCAACCTAATCAGCTGCCTTCTAATCAAAAGATGCTTTGTGCCTGGCTTGGCTGCCGTAGGAGTTATTTCTTGAACAAGCAAGGCCACATAATATTTATGTTATGTAAGCAGCCACAAACTCCAGCCCAAAATGATTGGCCTGATATACAGCAAGGGAACACTCAGGTCAGTGCTGCAGTTTGGTTAAAAACAAAATACAATATTTAACTGCTTACCTAATGGTGCTGTCTGATGAGAGCCACATGCTAGACAATAATTTCTGCTCATCTTTCCTTCTTCACATAAAGAGTCAATACAATCATCATCATAAAGGAAAGCATCAACATGAATGGTTGGTACTGTCTGTTCATGAAGCTAAAGAAAAAAAAGGCACACTTGATAAATATTTGGGACATTTTCTCCCCACCTCTGTTTATATGCCATTGAAATTCAATAATCATACATTTTCTATGTTATTTATTTATAGAAATTATAATCTATCATATCTGAACGACTCTAGTAGTTCACAATCACAATGCATAGAGATGAAATGGAAAAAATAAGCACCATAAATGTACAAAAGAATATCATAAAATCAAGTTTAAAAGGCCAAAATTCAAAAATCCAGATTACACATAACTTAAAAAAAAATCCATCACACTGAATAATTTAGTTAGCAAGCAATTGATATCCTAAACATTTAGCAGAACCAGTCTTCATTGCCCTCCTAAAATTTAATTAGGAGACTGCCTAGTCCTTGATATTTCGGGAAGACTACTCCATAAGGATGGGGCAACCACTGATACTACTTCCCTGTGGATTTCCAATAAGATTTGTGAACTTCAACTCCCAGTATTCCTCAGCCAGCAAGGGAATGGCTAGGGAATTTTGAGAACTGAAGTCCATACATCTTAAAATTGTCAAGATTGAGAAACTCTGCTATAGTTCTTACTGCTGAGTTTAGAAAGATCTTCTCTAACACCTAGTAAATCTTCACAAAAACATTTCATCCTGTGGCTTACATGGATCATCACAGGAGACAATTGTGCATAGAGTCACAGCTTTTCTCCTGATAACTTTAAAGGATGAATTCCTAAGAGTTGATTCCGAAGTGGAAAACATATCTGATAACTATCAGTCCACTCTTCATGAAAAAGTGAAGCCTGCTCCCTTTTATATCAGAAGAATCCAAGAAACAGAAACAGAATTTCCCACACTAATTTGTCTATGGTATTTTCAATTGACAACAAACTACTTTTTATTCATCATACCAATGAGATATTAGTTGATGGAAATTAACAGCTTGCAATCCAGTTTTCTATAAGAAAATTCAGACACTTTTATACAAATGTAAAAATACAAGTAAAAAAAATCACATATTCGTCCATACGAAACAACATTTTCCATTTTAGTAGAATCCAGATGTTCACCAGATTTAGAAAAAAAGAAAAAGATGCTGCTCCTAATTGTTCATGTACCTTGATGCAGGAGACTAACTTAAAGGGCAGGATATGGGACATAGCTTTCTCCTCCAAGATATTTTTGCTGCATTCCAATATCAACCCATTTGAGAAGACTGCCTTATATTACCTAATGGCTAGATTATCCCTGGGATAAAGGCAATCGGCTGAGCATTTATGTCCAAATCTATCAAGATATACATTATACAAATATATATATCAATATACTATAACCTTCTAATACTTTATTCTAAAATTGAACAATACAATAGAAGCAATATAGAATCTAATTACAAGCAATACATTGATACTTCTATTTTACCATTGAAGAACACTGAAACTTTAAAGATAAGGCCAATCAAGAGAATGTTTTGCATTTTTAAATTTAAAAATAATCTTGGTATAATTATGAATAACTCCTAGAAATTATTACTGCACTAATGTTTACTTTAAACCTTGATCTATGTTCTGCCTTCTGTTGGACTACATTAACAAAAAAGCCAACAAAGCCATAGGTGGCGAAGGCTTTATAGAAAATTCTAATTAAAAATCATGTGTCAACTTTTATGGGAAGGTTGAATAGCAAAACCTACTTTTTGAATAGCATTATGCTCTGAATTGAGCACTGCTCCAACAGGCAAACGATGTCGAATATCTTCAGCAATACTTCTGAGAATGATATCATCATTATTGAATGTAAATTCATCAAAGTCATCTGCAAAAAACAGGGAAAACAGATTTTGCAATGATCATGTGAAACTCAAGGCAATAACTTTATTTAATTTGGCTGCTGAATGCACAGATTCCTAGAAGTGCAGATTCTACAAACATTCATCAAAAGAAAATTAATGGCACTAGCTGTACAATCAGTAAACAAGCATGAAGTCAGCTAGTTATCAATCAAGAATGCAAGGCCTAGAAAGAAGAAAAAACTGGGGGCAATACAGCAGTCCTGAAAATAAATAGGGAAAGACTCAGTAATGTACTGAAATGACAATCGGGCCAAAACAGCACCATCACATTTTTATTCATATTCAGCATTAGGCAGTAAAAGGGTATTTAAGAGGAAATGTTGATAAAATGTTTCAATACAGCTGACCATGCTTTGGCAGCAAGGGTCAGAAACGACTGGATAGACTTGTCAACATAACAGTGATGCTGGAAATGTTTATCAGGAATCAACAAAAACAGTGTCCAAAACTGATCCTTGAAAGATGCCTCCAAAAGGGGAAATTCCTGGGATAAAAATCCTTTACACAACATTGCAAAATAACAAAAAAATAGAAATTCAAAATTAACTACTAACGATGCCCTCCAATTGTAATCGAGTGAATGTTCAGTGATGCCCAAAGATTGTAACATAAACAATTGTCTTAATACATTATTATTATTATTTTTTGCTGGGACATATAGCAAAGGTCATATATTTAGATGGCTTTTACAGAGAGAATAAATTTTATACCAAGCAACCAGATGCAAAGTGAACCAACCCAATGGGACATGTGTGTACTCTCAGTCTTAATGGGAATCATCATGACGCTTATGTGAAAATGAATTTCAAAGGCAGCACAGCTTCCACATAGTCTTAATGGAGAACAATATAGGATGCCATATCTTTCTTCGGTGAGGGGCGCTGTGGCTCAGTGGCTAAGATGCTGAGCTTGTTCGCATCCCTAGCGTAACTGAGCTCCTGTTACCTGTCCCAGCTTCTGCCAACTTAGCAGTTCAAAAGCATGTAAAAATGCAAGTAGAAAAATAGGGACCACCTTTGGTGGGAAGGTAATAGCAATAGCAATAGCAGTTAGACTCATATACCGCTTCATAGGGCTTTCAGCCCTCTCTAAGCGGTTTACAGAGTCAGCATATTGCCCCCAACAACAATCCGGATCCACCTCGGAAGGATGGAAGGCTGAGTCAACCCTGAGCCGGTGAGATTTGAACAGCCGAACTGCAGAATTGCAGTCAGCTGAAGTAGCCTGCAGTGCTGCATTTAACCACTGCGCTACCTCGCCGCCTTCAGCCACATAACCACAGATACGTCTTCGAACAGCGCTGGCTCTTCGGCTTTGAAACGGATATGAGCACCACCCCCTAGAGTCGGGAACAACTAGCACATATGTCCGAGGGGAACCTCTACCTTTAGCTTTACCTTATCTTTCTTCTGGATTTCCAGAGTCACTCAGGAATACAATACATTGGACCAAATGAACAAATAATCTGGTTCAACATGTTTGGTGCGATTAAATTAAACTCTGATTGAGGAAGGTTTCTTCATGCGGTTTCCCCAAGTCAACAGTCCCGTAACAAAAGCAATGATAAAAAGGGGCAGATAAGCGAAGTATAAAACAAATAAACGTTCTGAAAAAAAATGGGGGGGATGGAAAGAGACATCCCGGAAGAGTACCCGTAACTGTCTGGCGACCCCACGTTATACTATTTCACGTGTTCGGGGAAATCATACGACGAATGAGAAGAAACTCCGCTTACTAGATGTTCTCAGCCAGTGCAGCAGGCGAGGCAACTCCCCCGCACGCGCACCCTTTATTACGTTCAGCACCGCTTGGCGAGCCGATGGAAAATCCATCCTTACCTGATTGAAGGTACCGCGCAAGCGCGCCTCTATCGTCTTTCTCCCTACGCCTAGAGATGTCAGTCAGACTCTATCGCTCGGCCTTGAACGCATGTGCAGAAGTAACTGCCATTCTTTTCCCCCTGCTCCGGGGATTATGTATATGATGAGTCTTTCCGGAACTTCTTGGTATTATTCCTCTTCTTTTGTTTAAAAGACGGTGACGGCAATGGGCCCTTTTCAAGAACCGTGTCCGCCCCTCGTTTTGTGTGGCGATGAATAATTTTGCTGTTTTTGAATACAGCTCTTGGCGTAATGATTCCGAACGATGTTGATTTATTATTGGTTTTACCCCGCGGTGCAGGTTGTCACTGGCAAAAAAAAAACAACCCTCAAATTTAAAAAGCTGAATGTGACTTTAAATTGTGCTAAAATACTAAAAAAAATTAATCATCACTATGAATCTGGGCCAGAACATAAGTTTTGCAGAAATTTATGCAATCGATTTTGAACTTCTTGAGTTCAAAATCTCTTACACCTTTCCTCGTTATGTTTTTGACAGTGCTTCTCAACCGCAGCTACTTTAAGAGAGATGAACTTCAATTCTCAGAATTCTCCAACCTGGCTGGGAATTCTGGGAGTTGAAGTCCATTCCTCTTAAAGTGACTGAGACTGAGGCGCTGCTTGATCAGAGAGATATAAACGGTTTTTGCAAAACGCTGCAGCAATATAGCCTGACCTGTTTCAAAAACATTTCTACGGATATCCAGTACAATCGTTTTCGACCAAGAGAGATACTCGGAAGCTGAAGCCAACGCGCACCTCTTCCTTTTTTGTATATATTATTATCCTTTCTCAAAGGGGACGTTTCTCACAGATGACCCGGAAGCAGATGACCGAGTTTGCCTTGGGAAAGATGATAACTAACAGATTTGAGTAGTGGTGACGTGACACTCTTCCTGGTTGTTTGGATGCTGGAGAGGGATCGGAGCCGATTACTGGTGCCCGGTCTGGTTTAGCGGCTTTCTGAGGTCCCCCGAAGAGGCCCGGACTGTTGTGTGGCTTTCAGAGCGGGGCCACGTTAGGCCGCCGCTTCATTTCTCGGTAAGGTTTGCGTGGAAGGCTGGTCGCTTTTCGGTAACCCGAGTCCGCAAATGTCAGACCTTTCCAGGTTATCCAGACTCGCCCCTTTGGCACAGATACACACTGGCGGAGGGGAAGCAGACGGGCTATCCTGTGAAGTTAAAAATGTAGGTCCTGCTTTTGCACTGGCTGAACCGGAGCAAGAAGCCTCTTCGGGGGTGTTTGAAATCCTCGGTGTCCATCAAGAAATCTGGATGCTTTTCTTACATCCAGGTATATAGTTGTAGTAGTTGTTGTTGTTGTTAGTTGCGAAGTCGTGTCCGACCCATCGCCACCCCATGGACAACATTTGTCCAGGCCCTCCTGACCTCTACCATCCGCCTGAGTCCATTTAAGCTCATGCCTGCTGCTTCGGTGACTCCATCCAGCCACCTTATTCTCTGTCGTCCCTTTCTTCTTTTGCCCTCAATATTTCCCAGCATTAAGCTCTTCTCCAGTGAGTCCGTCCTTCTCATTGGATGGCGAAAGTATTTGAGTTTCCTCTTCAGGATCTGGCCTTTTAAAGAGCAGACTGATCGGTTTGATCGCCTTGCAGTCCAAGGGACTCGCAGGAATCTTCTCTGTTATGGTCCAACCATAAGAAAGGCTTGAGTGCCAAAGAATTGAGGCCTTTGAACTATGATGCTGGAGAATATAGAAGTATTTTTTTTTAAAAAGAATTGAATATTCTCCCCTTTTATACATGTGTCTAAAGTGATCAGAAACTGGTCTGGGCTGTTATTCAGTGTACTGGCTATGTTCACATACCATCTTAACTGAACCATGATTTATCCAATTACTTTTCTTGGTTGTGTACAACATAGTGAGATATATAATAACTACAGGGACTGGGATTGCACCACAGGGTATGATAAACAGATTTAATTTCAATGTTTATGCAATTATAGGGCAATTTGAATTTTATTTGCTTATTATGATTTATGTTCAGATGCACCCAATATGTGTGTTGCAATGTTTTATAAGTTATATTTTTTTCTTGTACAGATTCTAGTTTTTGAATAAATGTCACATGAACAAATTGTTCCATCCTAATTGTTGAATTCAGGAAGTTGGGTCAACAGATTATTAGGGCAACAGTGCAGATAATCTTTATTATTGCTATATATGTGGCTAGTTTAAGTATATCCTGTAAATGAGTAAAATGCAAATTTAAACTATATCTCATCTCCTATATCCTAAAGCTGCTCACAAAATAGTAATGGATTGTAAATGGAACAGGTTCCCTTCCACCATATTGCCTGATATAATTAGCAGTGCAATTGTGAGAATGCTCGCATGCCTTGAAGCCTTTCTCGGCTCTTAATTAAAAGTGCTATAGCTGAAATTTAGTTATTCTGTTTTCATTCTTTTCTCTATAGTTCCTTCTAGTCTTTTCCAGTTAATTAAGGAATCCTAATAATTAATTATTCAGCTAAATGAGGAACCTCATATTTGTCTAATGAATGTTTTCAGGTATTAAAAGGAACCAGTTAACAGGATTTAAAGTCATAAAATATTGTATGACAAATAACCTATGGAGGTAATTACTTTCTTCCCCCAAAATATGATCAGAAAATGCTGGATTACATATTTGGAATTAGAAATGGGAACTTTACTTCCCTTTAAACTGACATATATTGCTGTCAAATTATTTTAACCAAATGAATTGAGCAATTTGACATGTTCTCCATAGTTTTCTTACTGAGGATAGAAAGAGATTCTCCAATAACTGCACTTCAGAACTACAGGGGTGGGTGGGTGGGGGAAATCACACTAAAGTAATACAAACAGCACTGATTCCCATTAAGTTTCTGAATGCAATTTAAAGTGCTGATTATCATCTATAAAGCTCTTAATGGCAGAAGGCAGGTTTATTTACTAGACTGCCTTGGCAGCCATATAAGTTGAATAAATCCATAAAGTAGATAAGTTAATTTTGAAACTAGAAGGGAAAGCCTCCAATTTAACCAATGTAGTCCACCTCCCAAATTGCCAACAGTGCAAGTGTAGCATCAATTCCTTATATTGGAGATGAGAATTGTTATTATATAGTTGTTATTAGATTACTTATTTTCTGAGAAGTCATAATTCATGGTACACTTGACATGTAATATTAACAAGAATAGAGCATTTATTTATTAAATTTGTTTGCCACCCATCTTAATCAAGGTGACTTTATGCTTTGTAAAAGGAGTCAGAACCTCGGCTATGTGCACTATATGGTGCTTTTCTTTGGCTAAGTTTGATTTCCTGTTATAAACTCCTATGGTATATTTTTAGAGCATTTTACAGGATGAAGAAGGAGTATAGTTACTATAATTTCTACAAATCAGAAGACGGAACCAAAGCAATGATGGAAAACAATTAGGTTTCTATCTTTTCAATCAGTGTGTTTTATATGGTAGCACCGTTTTAATTTCCAGTCTTGCTCTTGGAAATATAGATAACTAACTATGGCATCCCTGGAAGAAAGGCTATGGCTGATGTGTCTGCTGATTTTTAAGGTTTCATGCTGTAATGAGAATGATATTTTCTATATATTCCATAGGAAATGATTTCAGCGGTTTATTTGGTAGATCTAGAGTCAAGAAACCGGTATAATGGATAGTAAAAGCTTTGTAGAGTAAAAGTAGGCCTTTCAATCTGTTTGTTTTATATCTATATTTGAATATCTTTATCTATATATTGTAACTCCCCCCCATACACACACACTGATTGAGTAGGACAAATATTAAATTTAAATATGGTATATATTTTAATACAGATAATAAAATAATTAAATTAAAATACAGTTGCAGCCTTAGTTTATATTAACCTACATTTATCCTAGACCATGAAAGAATGATGCTCTTCTTTACTGAAAGAAGCTTTTAACAAGAGGATGAATCCAGCTGGTTGAATGAAAGATGGGACGACAGCGATGATGATGATGATTAATTTTGCACATTTCAATGTTCCCAAAGATTTTATGGAGTGTTTGGGGACTGAAGCCCCAAAAGTCACTATTCCAGTCTCCTAATACCTTTGGGGACTGGAAGAGTGAGTCTTGAAATTTCAGGAGTGGAAGAGACTTCGTGAACAACTGTCTCTCTATTACTTATTGATTATTATATGAAGGATAAAGTATAGTTTGTGAAGAATAATTTTAGCAATATTATTTCTTTTTACAGGTCATATTTGAGCTAAATCTATTGTCAAGATGGTTTTAGCAGATCTTGGGAGGAAAATTACCTCAGCATTGCGCTCCCTGAGCAATGCTACCATTATCAATGAAGAGGTTTGTAAATTTTCTATGTGAGATACAATAAAGGCAACTATATAGAAAAGATTATTATCAGTTTGGATTTGATAGAAAATACCCCCATATTAAAGTAATAAGGTAATAATTCCATACATCATTAATTATGTGAAATTCAATGGATGAGATTCAGTGAATTGGTGTCATTTGCTAAGTATTGTTATAATAGGGATATTCATAAAATTCTTATTTCTAATGCATTAATTTCTTTTGAAATTTTTATTTATTTCTCAATCTACTATGATGTCTACCAGATTTAACATAAGAAATTTCATTATTTTCTGTATTATTTTCCAGCCAGTAAATATTAATTTAAAATGTTCATTGGAAAGATAAATTGTAAACATTAAATTATAGATAAGTTGTACATAAACATTTTTGTATTGTACTTCTGCCCTTACAGGTTTTAAATGCTATGCTAAAAGAAGTTTGTACGGCATTATTGGAAGCTGATGTCAACATAAAGCTGGTGAAACAACTAAGAGAAAATGTCAAGTAAGTGAACCAAGTCAAGTAAGAATAATGTTGTTTACTCTCTAGAAGTATTATTTATATTGTTAGTGTTGCTTATCACTACAAAAGGGGGGGGCATGTAAAGTTTTGAATTGCTTTGATTAATAAGTTCAATTTTGTATAAATTAAGTAACTGTTATTTTACATAGATACAATTTTATATAAAATAACTATGTTCATTTGAACAATTGTTTTTTTTAAATTTACTGTACAGATAGTCCTTGACTTACAACCACAATTGTCCAAAATTTCTGCTGCTCAGCAAGACATTTGTTGAAATAAATTTTGCCTCATTTTACGACTTTTGTTGCCAGAGTTGTCAAGGGAATCATTGTAGTTTTTAAGTTAATGACACAATTGTTAAGTGAATCTGGTTTCCCCATTGACTTTGCTTGTGAGAAGGTTGCAAAAAGTGATACATGACACTGAGACACTGCAACCATCATAAATATGAATCAGTTACTAAGTGTCAGAATTTTGATCACATAACCATGTGGATGCTGCAACAGCCTTGTGTGAAAAATGGTCATATGTCACTTTTTTTCCATGCATTGTAACTTCAGTGCATTGAACAGTTATTAAATGTACTATTGTAAGTCAAAGACTACCTGTATTTTTTTTCCTAAGACCAAAACTTTTCTATATGTTGCAAAACACTACTTATGGAATTTTAAGAAGTAGTATTTAAAACTAATATTAAAAATCACAATTCTTCCTTGAGAAAGAAGACAAGAGATAAGATTGGTTGTACACTGGGCCAGTATTTTGGAGGAAAAATAAATAGGAAGCTGAAATACAAAATACAGTGAGATCCACTTAAGCAATATTGCTTAAACTGAAAAATTGAAAAGGATGCTGGCTGGAGAATTTTGGAAGTTGAGGTCCACACATCTTAAAGTTGTTAAGTTTAGGAAACACTGATCTAAGTATACAAAAAAGTAGGTAAGGTGGGGTAAGAGGTTGTCAGGAGACTCCAGGATTGTAGGCTATAGTAGGAAGTTGACATCCCTGCTGGAAGAAGTAGCCAACCAATTCTGTATTATTGCCATAAAAATTACACAGATTTTGTAGTGATCAGAAACTGATCTTGATTTGAGAGAACATTTTTGTCTTATTTGAAGATAATTACCATCATGTGAAATAACAAATATTCAGGGAGTTTTAAGGAAGGACATAGTTCACTCTATATTAAGTACCTACCCCAGATCCTAAGTATAACAATGGAACATAAATTATATTAGTTCAGTCCATAATATAAGGGACATTGAAGTCCTCTTATATTAATTTTTCCCTTTTTCCAACCATAGATCTGCTATTGACCTTGAAGAAATGGCTTCTGGACTCAACAAAAGAAAAATGATCCAACATGCTGTCTTTAAAGAACTTGTTAAGGTAAAATTAAAGTATTGTTATCTAACCTATATCTGTAATACAGGCAAACATCGTTGGCATCCTTATTCTCTTAACTGAATATCTAACCAAGCCCTCTTAGCGATCTCATATTCAAGTGTGTGAATAATGCATGGCCATTTTAAAGTGAATCTGTTGCAATGATGGGGTATGCATAATATTAATAAGGCTTGCTATTGATTGAAACCATCTGCTTCATAGCATTGCAGCAGTTCAGGCAGTCCTCGACATACAACCATTTGGTTTCCAGTGACAGCATTATGGCATGCTGGCATGCTGAATGCCAGCATGCTGAATGAAATAACTTATAGCTGGTCGCTGAACTTACAGCTGTTGCAGCATTCATGTAATGATGTAAACAAAAACTGGGCATTTGGCAGTTTGCCTACACTTAAAACTTCAGGGATGCTTCAAATACTCCCCCCATCACCCCACTATCTCTCCTCCCAGATCTATGTTCTTTTGACTATAAAGTTTTGTTCACTGAGACATTGCGTTAAACTGTGTAGAAAGTCCTGGAAGTTGAGAGAAATATTGAAAAATATTTATTTCTAGCAATATGTCCCAGTGAACATATGCATCTTAATACAGATAGCCCTCGACTTCTAATCAAAATTGGAACCAGAAGTTTGGTCGCTAAGCAATGAGACATTAAGCAAGTCATCACATACTGGGCCTAATTTTATGTCCATTGTTATCATGGTCATTAAGCGAATCATGTAGTCATTAAGGAAGTCAAGCACTGTTAATCCAGCTTCCTCGGTTAATATTACTTGTCAGAAACGGGATGAGAAGTTCACAAATCACAAACAGATGATTTCAGGAAACTTCAACTGGTCATAAATATGAGCCATTTGCCAATCACCCAAACTGCAATCAGATCCCCTGTCCAAATAGAAACTGGACACTACTCTGCTGAACTTCTGAGCTAGATAAGTTCAGCCATACCCTGATTCCTGTTGAGATTTGGTTACGTAGCACCTTTTTTGAAAAATGATCATCACTTGCAGTTCTTCAGTTCTGAATAGAGCCATGTATGTATGCAATGAGGACCCCAAAGCTGCGGCAGAAAATTCCCCAATTGTGCTAATTCTAATAGAGTAAAATTAAGGACACTTGCCTAACTACTCAAATCAGAATTTTTTTCTGAAAGCTAAAATTGCTGATTCTTTAGCTTTAAATCAGGCTGAAAAATTAAGAGAAATAAGTATTATATTTTATTAGTATAAAAATGACATTCTTGTGCTGTGAGATGTCATGGCAGAAAGATTACAATTTCTGCACCAACGAGTTTACATAAAAACACTTTGGTTGAATTTATATATTGCTCTTTGCAATTGTATTGATTGATTAATTATATAGTACGGAAATCCAAACATTGAGTTTTATAGCAATAGCACTTAGACTTATATAGTACTTTACAGTGATTTATAGCACTCTCTAAGTGGTTTAGTGTCAGCATATTGCCCCCAAACAATCTTGGTCCTCACTTTATCGACCTCAGAAAGATGAAAGGCTGAGTCAACCTTGAGTTGGTGAGAACTTCTGGCAGCTGGCAGTCAGCAGAAGTAGCCTGCAGTACTGCATTCTAACCACTCTGCCACCACGGCTTACCGCAGTAAGTTAGAATTATATGTACACCAGACTGCTATGATTTCTCAACAATCCATAGTTAAAATAAGCCTGCTTAGCATAAGGTGTATTGTAAATTGTACTTCCTCAAATTGGCTTCTTCTGGTCAATGTTAGACTGTATTGGCATCTTTGTATCTCTTTTGCGGAAATTCTTAAAGGCAAAGAGAAGAACCAAGGCAATCTATTTTGCATCTTAAAGGCACTGCCATTGCCATTGCCAGTAGCCTCAATGTAATATTGAGGAACGTGAAGGACTGGAAGTGTCCTGTGGTGCAGAGGTGTTCATTGTTCCTTGCTCTCTGATTGTATATGTTATTGAAGCAGAAAGTAGAATAACATAACTTTGATTTCTGACTTTTGGAACTGAGCAGAAAAAGTGATACTGAAAATACACAATGTAAAATATGCAAAACAAAACCCTAAGGCTTTGTAAATACTTTGTGATTCTGGAAATTATGCTGCATTTTATTTTATAGCTTGTAGATCCTGGAGTCAAAGCTTGGACACCCACAAAAGGAAAACAAAATATCATCATGTTTGTAGGCTTGCAAGGAAGTGGCAAAACAACGTCGTGCTCAAAGGTATGGTGTATTCTATATGATATATAATGATAGCTGTTTTTAGATAGACTTTTGTAGCACTGGACTATTAAGTATTTGAATAGATTTCCATTTAGATCGTTGAGCTTCATTTTTTCATTTGTAGTCAGATCTGCTCCAAAATCTCCCAACTGTGAATGGAAAGAGTTAAAAAAAACCCTCTGTTTTGCTGTTAGATTGAACCCATAAAAGAATTGAGCTGCATTTTCAAATATTAAAGGCTAAGGTGTATGGGGAAGCATTTTGTAGGCAAAATCAGTATCTAATAGTGAAACATAGCTAAACAGTTATGTGCCAATCTTACCATTTTCAGAAAGTTTATCCTTCTTCCAGCCTTCTAATCTGACTATTTTGAATCAATACTTCCAGAAACTAAGCTCCCAAATCAAAAGAGTTTTATGGTTGTGTTTTGTTTCAAATTGAAATAAGCTTGTTTAGCAGGCTGGACCACATCCTGAACACCTGGACTTCTTTTGTTTCAGTAGATTGACTTTCAAAAATACAATACAATAGCAGAGTTGGAAGGGACCTTGGAGGTCTTCTAGTCCAACCCCCTGCCGGACCATCCTTGGAATAATTGTGCAGGACCATCCTTGCAATAATTGAATTGGCACATTCAGGAGAAATGGAGCATTCCAGAAAAGGAATACTTGGAGGGATAGGTTATATCAGAATTCTAAATCATTTGAGAAAATTGTTTTTGACAGGCACATAAACATTTTAAAATAAAATGTAAAAAGGTATTCTGAGAAACTGAGGTCCATATTATATTTTTGTTATCTCCTTACAAAGCTATTCTTTTTAAATTTGAAAATATTCTGAACTACATGATTTCTAATTCAGTATAATGTATAGCTGATGATGCAGACCTTCTGCATGGTTCATTGGCCATGTGTAATATGTCAAATTTTACTGAAAGACAGGCTTTTGTAATCCAGGTATCTTGAATTTATTAGATTTTTAAAAATAAAATACAAAAACTTTGCTTTTACAAGTTGGCAAAGTTGACAAGATAAAAAGATCCATGATAGCGCATGAGAACAATAGTTGGTAGTAAGCAGACTATATTTATAACTCCATAATTAATTGTACCTTGAAAAAGCTGATAGTAGATATTGCAGTCTTTGTATGTGCAACTACAAATGAATGAAAACAAAAATGTTTTTTTAATAATAGCTTATAAGTTTATGTCTTGATTTTGTTTAAATTAACAGTTGGCATATTATTACCAGAAGAAAGGCTGGAAGACATGTTTGATATGTGCAGACACTTACAGAGCAGGTGCAGTGGTTAATTTTGTTTAGTTACTTTGTTTTTTTGATAGATGTGTATGTCCTACACGGCTAACAATATTTGTATTCTATAGGTGCTTTTGATCAGTTAAAACAGAATGCAACAAAAGCAAGAATTCCATTTTATGGGAGGTATGTATAATACCTATTACATGTAAACATTGATTATTCAGTTTTGAGATAGTGTCTGTAGATGTTCACTACATATAGTTAGATAAAGCTTTATTGTCATATTGCTTTGATTAATATTTATCAGAGATCTTCAAAAAGTTTAATAGTAGAGTGTCTTAAACTCAAGTAAGTTGATTTGTATATTATCACAGTTTAAATACCTCTTTTACCAAACTCGGCAGTTTATCTGCAATAAGAAATGGACATACTATTCCCTTCCATATTTATGTGATACTTTCTTAAGTTTGTATATGTTCTTGTGTGTATATCAATATATATATATCAGAAATTTGAAAGTTAAACTAAATTATTTAGTTAAAGAAGCAAATGAATAATGAACATCCATAATTTGAAAAATATCCAATATCTGTTATCTGCTTGTCTATGAAAAAAATACAGAAAACTCAGTTGATATGTTTATGTCTCAAAAGAGCAAAACTCAGCTTTGTTTCCAAGTTCTTTCTTACTACCACAACGCAGGGCTACACAAAATGTTTTATTTCAAACTATTTCAAGGATGTAATTTCACAAAACATGACCATTCTAATCTTATGTAGGTTTGTTTGAGCATTCTGGAAATGGTTTGAAAAATTTTTGAGCTTGAAATTACCTCATTTCACACTCAAAACTACAGTCTTATGCTTGAAACAGGACATTCTAATGGGATGGTGTATGCTCAAATGATTTGAAATTAGGTATTTTACCTATTCTGCTATATGTCCTAGCCCTATAGTGTTCTTTCCCTCTGTTGTATTTCAGTTTTGGTCATAGTAGCTAGATTCACACAATATGTTACAATATGCAGTACCAACAGGAATGTACATTACATATTGATTTATGTGATAAAAGCTGTAAAATAATCAATGCAATTTATTGGAATTCTTCATTTAAATAAATTAATATTGATTGTCAGCTTATTAACATAAATAGAGATAAGAGTTGAGGTAACGATAACTAGTGAGGCATTCAGAATATGTTCCTTGGTAATTCTTGACTGATACAATGAGCCTATCTGATCCTATACCACCACATGATGGATCGCCCCATCCCTTCCTTCCTTTCTTGCCTATAGTGATGAAACATGCTTTTCCCATTACATAGCTCATCACCTGATTCTGAGTAATTTTATAACTTCACATTATTTTAAGTATGTGTTTCTCTATTAACTAGTTACACAGAGATGGATCCTGTAATTATTGCTGCAGAAGGTGTTGAAAAATTTAAGAATGAAAACTTTGAAATAATAATAGTTGATACAAGTGGTCGTCACAAGCAGGAAGACTCTTTGTTTGAAGAAATGTTACAAGTTGCTAATGCCATAGTAAGTTTTGTTTGGATAATGCTGAATGAAAGTTATTCTAGAATTTACAAATTGTAATGCTTCCTGAATGGTAAGCAAATATAGTATCTGCTGATGATTATTTGCTAGCATGCCTCACAAATATGCTCTAGAAATATAATTGATTTTTTTGGAGCAGATTTGGGTTGGAATGAAATGGAGCAAAAAAATCTTGATACATAAATGAAGGTCCATTTGGATGTGGCCAATAAGCTATTTTGAATTGGAAATATACTTTCAATTACTGTTTTATCATTTTTCTAAAATTATGTACTAAGATCTTCAGTATACAGCAGATGTAAAATATGCATATAATGCAATTTTATAAGCATATCTAATTATTTGTTTTACATATACATACTATCCAACTTATCATCTGTGTTCAGTGGGACTACAAAATGAGTGCATAGGATTTACAGCATTCATTTCTATTTGACTTTGGAATGGTTGTAAAGAAACTCTCAAAATGGCCACTCTTCAAGGACTAACACAAAACTCATTATACTGATGCTAGTATAAATGTATGAAGACTGTTAATGTATATAGTACTTGACATCACTGCAATTGAGCCTCAAAATGCAGGGGCATGCTGGTCTCATGTAACCATCCTAAATTTCAAACCAAAATTTGAATTAGATAAATGTTTTATTTAGGTCAAATCACCTACAACAACTGGTAGCAGCTCTCCAGGGTGGAGGCAAGGTGTTCCCCCCTCCCACCTGAAGACACAAAGGATTGAATATTGGATTTATCTACTTACATGGAAAAGGCTTCCCAACTGAGATTTGATTGCAATTTGATCATTACACATTGACATAATTGAAATTTAGAATAAATGTATATTTTCATGAAGTAAATCATTGTCATCTCCCTGAATGAAATGTTAAAGGTTTAACATGACCTACAGTTTATTGCAACTTTGAAGTGGAGCAAGGATAAGAGCTCCTAATTTCTGTTTCCCTTTGTTTGGGTGATTGCTTCCAGCAACCAGATAATATAGTATATGTGATGGATGCCTCTATTGGTCAAGCCTGTGAAGCTCAAGCAAAGGCTTTCAAAGATAAAGTTGATGTTGCTTCTGTAATTGTGACCAAACTTGATGGCCATGCCAAGGGAGGTGGAGCATTGAGTGCGTAAGTACTTTTTACTTAGTAATAGGCCAAGCAACATTGTGTGGGACCTATAAATAGCTGCATAAAATAAAGTTCTGAAAAGACAGAGATCATGCATTTGATAAATTTTTCCAGTTCTTTTAGCTTTGCTTTTTGGGGAACTTGAAACAAATAAAACTACTCTCTCTTCACTGCTTACTGTATTTTGTTGGAAGTGGGAGAAAAAAATGAGTTTTTAAACTATCAAGGTTGAGTGAATTCTTCAAATTTCAAAACCTTAATGCACAAGAGGTATTCTCTTCCTTTCTTAAATCTTTTGTTTTGAGGGCAAGATACAAAAGTGTAAACCTGTGTTTCACTACAGAGTTGCTGCAACTAAAAGTCCAATCATTTTTATTGGAACTGGCGAACATATAGATGACTTTGAACCTTTTAAAACACAGCCTTTTATCAGTAAACTTCTTGGTATGTATTGCTCACTGCAAAAATGTAATTGCTAAAATTGATTTTCCTCCCCTGAGTTGTAATGGATTACATTTCAGTTGTTAAAGAAGTGTATTTTATATTACAGGCATGGGAGATATTGAAGGATTGATAGATAAAGTGAATGAATTGAAATTAGATGACAATGAGGCTCTCATAGAGAAACTAAAACATGGTAAGCTATGCCCCAAACTTTGCTAAGATAGCAATGTTTGGCAGTTTAATTGTCTTGTCCATTTTGTTTTGAAAGATGGGATGAACCATCTGATTTACAGTGTACAAGTTTAATAATTAGAGTTCAATGTTTTAACCATTCAGGTCAATTCACATTGAGAGATATGTACGAACAGTTCCAAAACATCATGAAAATGGGGCCCTTCAGTCAAATATTGGTAACTATAATGAGATTAGCTATCTAAAAACCAGTTAATACATTAATATTCATTTTGAAGAGGCTTTTAACCCTTTTTTTGAAATTATTATAGGGTATGATCCCTGGTTTTGGAACAGATTTCATGAGTAAAGGCAATGAACAGGAATCAATGGCACGGCTAAAAAAACTGATGACGATAATGGACAGTATGAATGATCAAGGTAACATTTCTAGAATAATTGAATTACGAAAGTTAGGAAATTTGTTTATGCTGCTGTCAGAATAATGAAAAATCCAAAACATATATATTTGTATATTTTTCATTTTGTGATTCATTATGATTTAAACATTGAATAGGATTCAGATTTTCCCTTCTATGGCTAGAAGGCTCCCTTTATTTATTGTGGGGAACCGACATGAGTATAGACTTGCTTCTGGAGAAAAATAATAGGTTATCAATTTTCTCTGATACCCTATCTTTCATTATTAGGAGCGTCACTAATACAAATTAAATCCCAACCTATACTTTTACTTTCTTCAGCAAATTTAAATACAACCTTATTCATCATACTGAATCTGTAGTATTTGCTTCATTTTTAAAACTGGTTTATGCTTTATATAAGGTATAGAACAGTACTAATCAGGTACAGAATTTTGAGAGAAATTATCTTTTTCTTTTAAAAGTCGATTAAATTGACATCTTGAATTTTTGACGCCATTATCCATGAATAATTCCTCCTTTATCCATTGCTTCTCTTAATTATAGAACTAGATAGTACAGACGGAGCCAAAGTTTTCAGTAAGCAACCAGGAAGAATCCAAAGAGTAGCAAGAGGTTCTGGTGTTTCAACTAGAGATGTTCAAGAACTCCTGACACAGTACACAAAATTTGCACAAATGGTGAAAAAGATGGGAGGCATTAAAGGACTTTTTAAAGGTGAGAATCAATGTATATTTTGAATATCTACTATACATGGATATACAGGTAATTCTCAACTTACAACCATTTGTTTAGTGACTGTTCAAACTTACAGCAGCACTGAAAAAAGTGGCTGCTTTTCACACTTATGACTATTGCAGCATTCCCATGGTCACATGATCAAAATTCGGATGTCTGGCAACAGGTTCATATTTATAACAGTTGCAATGTCCCAGGGTCATATGATCACCTTTTGCAACCTTCTGACCAGTAAAGTCAATGGGGAAGCCACAGTAACAACTGTGTTACTAACGTAACAACTGCATTGATTCCTTTAACAACTGTGGTAAGAAAGGTCATAAAATTGGACAAAACTCACTTAACAACTGTCTCACTTAGCAACAGAAATTTTGGGTTTGGTTGTGGTTGTAGGTAGAGGACTAGCATTCTGGATTGACTCAGTTGCTTAATACTAGACTCAGAGCTGAATCTAAGAGATCCATCTGCTGAAAAGCAGCATTTAATGGTGGGATAGATCTCTTCTTCGTTACTGTCCCTCAGGATTTATCACATATCTGCCCAAAAAGATTGAAGAATCCTCCACAGGGCAGATTTGAGAGGCATGCAATGCAGTCTGAGACTGTAATAAAAATTGATTGAGAGACACATGGAAAGGAAAAAGAGATGTGAAGTCATAGTACATACGTCATTTATGGATGTAGCCCATAAATTCTAGAAAATAATTTATAATTTCTAATTGTATTAATATTTTGAAAAGCTATTAACATATTTAGTGGAAACATGTAGTAATTAGGTCTAGAAATAACAGACAGCTAATTTTCACAGATTTGTTGCAGAAAGAAAAGTATTTTTATACATTTATGAAATTTCTGCAGAAAACTATCATTATTGACATTAAACACATGAAAAGCTGCATTATTTGTTTACATTGCTTGTGTGAATAGCAGCCACTCAGACTGTGAGGCTGATTTTAATCCTGCACATTATGCTTTGCTGCCAAATACCAATCAGAAGAGGCTAAGAGAATTTTCATTACTATTTTGAAATGTTAATGAAGGCGAATACTGTATACATGTCCCAGGATAATATTGTAGGATCCATTCTGGGTCGGTCACTGGGATCGGAGGTTTAATCTTCCGAGCTTTCGAACTTAGCTGAAGCCCATCTTCAGGGAACTTCTCTCTAGCAGAGTGTGTGCTTTGGGCTATTTTGAAATACTCCATTACTGTTCTTTTTCTCCTCTTTACTTTTTCTTTGTTTTAAGGAGGTGATATGTCAAAGAATGTAAATCCATCCCAGATGGCAAAACTGAACCAACAGATGGCAAAGATGATGGATCCTAGAGTTCTTCATCATATGGGTAATTATGCTTTTTCTTTTCTTGCTGCAGAAGTGGGCTGGAAACGTACGACTTCCTATCAGTTTAATAAAATAGACTACCTTCCAAACATCTTGGAGACTGAACTCAGCCATTTTGCTATGACAAAATTATATTTATGGTACAGTTACATATTGTAATATGCTGGAATGAAAAAAAAATCACAATATTTTTAAGTAAATAAATTGAGGTTGTCTTGATATTATGCACATAATATCATAACAATTAGATTATTTGAAAACTAGATACAACTACCACCCCCAGCTATGGTTTCATTTATTTTTCTCTATTTCCTTAATATGTACCATATCAACTTTTTAAAGTTCTTTTTTTCTTTTTCTATTTCATCTTATGTATCATAAAGTCTGGAATTCAAAAAATGTACACAAGTTTATCAATATTGGTAGACATGTTTATGCATTCTAGTTTGCATGGGCACTTCGTTGTTCCACTAAACGTTCTTTGCAACTGTTTTTGAATCAAGGAGATACTGAATACTTGCTATTTGAAACAAGGTGATATGAATGACTGCTATTTAAGAAGCAGTAGAAAAATAATTTAACATTTAAACATTTAAAAATAAATAACATATATGTTTTAATATTTCATTACAGGTGGCATGGCAGGATTGCAGTCAATGATGCGCCAGTTTCAACAGGGTGCTGCTGGAAATATAAAAGGCATGATGGGATTCAATAACATGTAAAAGCAGCTTTAATAAACTGACTTGATTGAACATTATTTGCTGGAGTATTTCTAAAAAGAATGAGAGCTCCTTTTCCGCTGTGGAGAACTTTAGTGGAACATTATGCTTCTAAAACAGCAGTTTGGAGATATTCCAGTCTTTAGGTTTAGAAAGTGGTTCTAGTTTGACTTCAGTTTATTAATGTTTCAGTTTTAATATTTTCTTGGACTTGTTTAAAAATAAATCATGTATAAATTTAATATTTAGAGGAACTTTTTAATTGTTTCAAATGGCAACGTTATATTTGTAAACAATTCAGATCTTTGGTCAATGCCAGTTTGTCACAAATATATTGTAAAATAAACTTACCTGGTTGTAAATTTAAGAGCTGATTTTTGTGCTTATAACAAACTTTAGAAATAAGTGTGTTGCAAGGAAGTGTTTACTGTTGACCGTGTGCTTCAAGAATGAATTTCAGTCTTCTCAGTTTTAACTCCTTTGAGGTAAGTTTGGACAGCAACAATAAAATGATGTCTTATTTCCTGATATGTTGCTATCAGGTAATTTGGAAGAGCCAATGTGTCCAGCAAATACTCTTTGTGTAAATTTGTTGCAGGGGGTATTCAGATAAATTATATCTTCACATTTATCTTCAGTTCCAGACTAAATTATGATGCTGTGTTTATGTCAAATTCTTTGTTCTTCTTTACATCCACACACAATAAAAATACCATTCATATAGAAAGCAAAAACATTTGAACACAACTTTGATTATATCCTTTGATATAAATTAGAATGCTGTCACATTATCTGAAAAATTTGTCTGACTGTCCTCAAAATCAATACCAGCTGGATTAACAAAATGCTAATTCATAGTGTTGGTTGATTTTGATTTAGCAAATTTCAAATGCCCAACTATGTAATAGGTATGTATACATCTTATCACATATGGCTAATAGTAATAGGCATACTATTTTGTTCTATTAAATAGAGGGTGGATGTGATATTGTACCCACAAGATTTCTAAAGGGAAACAACATTGAGGTTAACATACAGACTGTCCTGTATTTGTATCCATTTGATTTTCCCATTTCCAAAGGTTTCTGTCTGAGCACGGAAATGTATATGACTTATCATGTGGATTTTATATTATAAAACATAGAACATTTTTATTTTTTTATTTTGATCTATAAATCCAACACATACAAATTCACAATCTATTCTGATATTCTTTGCAAACTGGTAAAGAGGAAGAAGTGAGATTGGGAGACGTAGTATAGTGAAATAATTGTTTGATCCAGCAATTTTAAACATAGGTTTTCAAACACAAGTCTGTAAGACATGAGGGATCCTTGGTGCTCTCTGAGCTTGGTTGTTTTCTTGCAGACATTTCATTACTGACCCTAGGTAACATCATCAGTGTTATTATAGACATCTGATGGCTTCATGGGAAGCAGCCAGGTTGAAAGATGTGAACTCTGGTTATTAATAGCTTTATATCAGAGAAGATCTGGAGTTCAAAAAGGTTTGGACTCTTCCATTGTGGAGGTGAGGACAGCAACCTAGAATGGTCAGTAAAAAATGGCAATTTCATTTCCTAGGGTTTGCTTTATGACCATTAGTGGCCTTGAAGTGGGTCATGTTTGTGACTCTAGTCTAGTTAAAGTTTGTTGAAGCCGCCTCAGTTGTCGGCTGATGAAAGATGATGGCAGGGAAGGGAAAAAAGACATTGTCGGGATATCGTGTTTCAGTGCACGTGGGAAAGTTTCTGAAACCGGTTTATAGCTACAGTACAAAGTTCCAACTAGGGGTGGGGGTGGGGGTGGGGGGTCACGTGCCTTGTGCTTTCACCGAACGAAGGCCCGGATCTGGATACCATACGACAGCGCCCAAACGCACATATACATACCGGTCTCTCGGTCACTAAGCGGCGGGCCCACCTCTGGCTCGACAGGCGCCTGTCGCCAGGGCACCTTAGAGAGAGAGAGAGAGTTCTACGAGGTATCCTAGCAACCACCAAGACGGGGGTGTGACCGGCGGAGGGGGGGGGGACGACACCGGCCTCTGTGAGCTCATTTCCCAGGGCCTCCGCCCCGGAGG